GGCGCGGCCGTCGAGGTAGCGCCCAGGGACGCTGGCGCGCGCCCGGGGAGCACACACGCAGATCGAGATAGAGGGAGAGAGATATACGTATATGTGTAGGGAGAGAGAGAGAGAGAGATAGGGAGGTACACATATATATAGGGAGCGAGAGATAGATATAGGGAGATGTATATATAGGGGGGAGAGAGAGATAGGGGATATATATTTATATAGGGAGACATATATATATAGGGAGACATTTAGATATGGAGGAGATATATATATAGGGAGAGAGAGATATAGGGATATATATATCGGAGGAGAGGAGGGAGATATATAAATATAGGGAGACAGATATATATATATATATGTAGGGATATATATACCTGGGGAGAGAGATAGATATAGGGAGATATATATAGGGAGAGATATGTATATAGGTGTATATATATAGGGAGAGATATATATAAGGAGATATGTATATAGGGAGGGAGAGAGAGATGGAGAAATATATATATATAGGGATATATATATATATAGGGATATATATACATAGGGAGAGAGATATAGGAAGATGTATATAGGGAGAGATGTATATATAGGAATATATATATGGGGAGAGAGATATATAAGGAGAGATATATATAGGGAGAGAGATATATAGAGGGAGAGAGAGATATAGGGATATATATATGGAGAGAGATATATAGTATATAGGGATATATGTATTGGGAAAGAGGGAGGTATATAAATATAGGGAGAGATACATATATAGGGATATATATACATGGGGAGAATGATAGATATAGGGAGATATACAGGGAGATATATTTAGGATATATATATATATATATATAGGGAGAGAGAGAGATAGGGATATATATATTTCGGGAGATATATATAAGGAGAGAGAGGGAGATATATATAGGGAGATATGTATATATATAGGGATATAGGGAGAGAGAGATATAGGGAGAGATAGATATAGGGAGATATATATAGAGAGAGGGATATATAGGGAGAGAGAGATAGAGGGATTATATATATAGGGAGAGATATAGGGAGAGCTATATATATAGGGAGAAAGATAGATATAGGGATATATATATAAGGAGAGAGAGAGAGATAGTGATATATATATATAGGGAGAGATATATAGGGATATATATATGGGGAGATGTATTTTATATATATAAACACCACCACCCACAACACCAACACCCACAACACCAGCACCATCACCAACACCACCACCAACACCACCACTGCCACCACCAACACCATCGCCAACACCATCACCAATACCGCCACCAACACCACCACCCACAACACCAGCACCATCACCAAGACCACCATCAACACCACCACTGCCACCACCAACACCGTCACCACCACTGCCACCACCAACACCATCGCCAACACCATCACCAATACCGCCACCAACACCACCACCCACAACACCAACACCCACAACACCAGCACCATCACCAACACCACCACCAACACCACCACTGCCACCACCAACACCATCGCCAACACCATCACCAATACCGCCACCAACACCACCACCCACAACACCAACACCCACAACACCAGCACCATCACCAACACCACCACCAACACCACCACTGCCACCACCAACACCATCGCCAACACCATCACCAATACCGCCACCAACACCACCACCCACAACACCAACACCCACAACACCAGCACCATCACCAACACCACCACCAACACCACCACTGCCACCACCAACACCATCGCCAACACCATCACCAATACCGCCACCAACACCACCACCCACAACACCAACACCCACAACACCAGCACCATCACCAACACCACCACCAACACCACCACTGCCACCACCAACACCATCGCCAACACCATCACCAATACCGCCACCAACACCACCACCCACAACACCAACACCCACAACACCAGCACCATCACCAACACCACCACCAACACCACCACTGCCACCACCAACACCATCGCCAACACCATCACCAATACCGCCACCAACACCACCACCCACAACACCAACACCCACAACACCAGCACCATCACCAACACCACCACCAACACCACCACTGCCACCACCAACACCATCGCCAACACCACCACCAACACCACTGCCACCACCAACACCATCGCCGACACCACCACCAACACCAACACCACCACCATCACCAACACCACCAACACTGCCACCAACACCACCAACAACACCAACAACACCAACACCACTGCCACCACCTCCACCACCTCCTGGCTGCTCTACTCCCACCCCACCGACAAGCGGTGCCGACGTGACTTGGGCGTCTATCTCAACCCTTCGCCCTTAGACCCGGCCGCTTGGCGACCTCCTTGGCTGCTCTACCGAGGACCTTGCGGTTACTCCGACTTGGCCGTGTGTCCGGAGCCTGACCCGCTCTTTGGCTGCTTGTTCGAGTGCGGCGGCGCCAGCAGCTGCGAGGAGATCGCCTTCTGCCTCTTCACCCTCCGCCCGCTCCTGGACACCTGCGGTTTTTTCCGGCGCTGGCTAGAGCTGCTCGATGCTTTTAGACCAGCGGCGTTGACCTGGGAGCCGCTCGGCCCGGCTTCTGCATGTGTGTTGGCTCCCCAACCCCCCCCCAAAAAAAAAACCAAAACAGCGTTGGCAAGATTTTTATCGTTTCTTCCCGAAATAATGAAGAGCAGCTGCTGGACGAGAGAGCCGGGCGGGGAGGTGCTTACACCTGGCATGTCCTTACGCCCATTGCACCCGTCATGTTCTTGCACCCATCCTACCCTTGCGCCCATCATATCCAGGCACCCTTGCGTACGTCGTGCTCTTGCACCTATCCTGCCCTTGCACCAGTGCACCCATCATGTCCATGCACCCATCCTGCCCTTGCATCCATCATGTCCTTGCACTCATCATGCTCTTGCACCCATCGTGTCCTTACATCCAGCACACCCTTGCACCCATCCTGCCCTTGAACCCATCATGCCTTTGCCCCCCATCACACCCTTATACCCATCATGCTCTTGTACCCATCACCCCACCTTTACACCTATCATGGCCTTATACTCATCACACTCTTGCAACCATTGTGCTCTTACATCCCTCCTGCCCTTGCACCCATCATGGCCTGGCACCCAGTGTGCACTTGCACCCATCATGGTCTTGCACCCTTATGGCCTTGCACCCATTGCACCTTTGCACCCATCGTGCCTCCACACTCCTCATGCTCTTACTCCAGCCTTGTGGTGGACGGGGCTGGTCCCTGATGGTCCCTCTTTAAGCCAGATGGAGAAAACTTGGGCGAAATCTACTCTGGAGGGGTTTGGCCTCCTCTTGGGCTTGTCATTCAAAATTCGGCTCTTTCTGGCCGGGTTGTGCAGGAAAGCACTGGTCAGCCGGGAGCTCGTGGGCAGCACTCCGGGGAGGGTGGGATTATTTAGAGGACCTTTGCAACGCTGGGACTGCTGTGTCTCACACAGGCCAAGTGGTGGCACCTGAGGACCACGTAAGGTGGAGGGGCTGGGGGGGTTTTCTGCAAATAGCTGTTTCCCTGGTAGGTTGGAGGCCCACCAAAGCTGCAGCTCACCTCCCACCAGCGTTGGGGTGGAGTTAGTTAAAAAAATGCCCCATCCAATGGAAAAGCAGTGATAGGAGGAGGATTTTAGCGGCTGGTTTTTCTGCCTGTCACCTGTGGTCGCAGCGAAGGCCCTCAAAGACCAGCTTTTGCCCTCCCCGTTCCTCTCCTGCCCCCTCCATTTCAGTTGGGTTTGATGGACCCTCATGGCCCTGGGGGCTCCTGGCACCCCGTCCGGCCCTGGTTTCTCTGCCGAGGTCTGTAGAGGCAGCAAAGGGCCTGGGGATGGCCGAGGCAGGTCGAGATGAGCCGAGATGGGCTGAGATGGGCTGAGACAGGCCAAGATGGGCTGAGATGGGCCAAGATGGGCTGAGATGGGCCAAGGGCAGCTGTGGTCTTTGCATGGCGAGGGCAGTGCAGTGAGGGAGTCCTGGGGGGGGCCACAGGGCTGCCGTGGTGCAGCAGGCAAGGTGGGCTGCAGGACGGGGATGGGACAGGACAGGAGAGGACAGGAGCACCATGGGCTCTGGGACAGTGATGGAGTCAAGATGGGACAGAACAGGACAGTGACAGAGATGGGATGGGATGAGACAGGACAGGAGCTTCACGGGCTCTGGGACACTGATGGAGACATGATGGGACAGGACAGGACAGGAAGATCACAAGCTCTGGGACAGCGATGGGGATGGGATGGGACGGGACAGGACAGGAGCATCACAGGCTCCAGGATGGGGATGGGATGAGACAGGACTAATGGGGAGAGGGAGAAGGAAGGGAAGGAAGGGAGGAGGGAGGGAAAGGAAGGGAGGGGAGGGAAGGGAATCTGTCTGTCTTCTAGGTGTGGGGATGGGTGTGGGTGAAGGTGTGGGTGCAGGTGTGGGTCTGGGTGCAGGTCTGGGTGCAGGTGCAGATCTGGCTGCAGATATAGATGCAGGTGTGGGTGCAGGTGTGGGTCTGGGTACAGATCTGGGTGCAGGTGTGGGTGTGGGTGCAGATCTGGGTGAAGGTATGGGTGTCGATCTGGGTGCGGGTGCAGATCTGGCTGCAGATATAGGTGTAGGTGTGGGTGCAGGTGTGGGTGTAGATATAGGTAGAGGTGTGGGGGCAGATCGGAGTATTGGTGCAGGTGTGGGTGCAGATATGGCTGTAGCTCTGGGTGCGGGTGCAGGTGTGGGTGCAGGTATGGGTGCAGATATAGGTACAGGAGTGGGTGCAGATCTGGGTGCAGGGGTGGGTGCAGATCTGGGTGTGGGCGCAGATATAGGTACAGGAGTGGGTGCAGATCTGGGTGCAGGGGTGGGTGCAGATCTGGGTGTGGGCGCAGATATAGGTACAGGAGTGGGTGCAGATCTGGGTGCAGGGGTGGGTGCAGATCTGGGTGTGGGCGCAGATATAGGTACAGGAGTGGGTGCAGATCTGGGAGCAGGTGTGGGTGCAGGCATGGGTCTAGGTGTGGGTGCACGTGGGGCTGCACCGAGGCCCCGGTGCTGCAGCCAGCGCTGGGCTCCGCAGTCCCAGGGTACGGGGCAGCAGCTCCGGCACATGCCGACTTCCACCAGCACGCTTAATTACCCCCTGCACTAATTAGCACCAAGGCAGCCTGGCTCCCGAGGAGGCCCTGAC